GTGGAGCGGCGGGGCCTTGGCAGTGGCACGGTCGTGGACCTGCTGCAAGCATTCCGGTCCGACGACACCGAAAACGTTTTAAAATCCACTTTTTTTCCCCGCCGAGGAGGGAAATAAATGCGAAAGTTGGCAAGCGCGGCAGCAGACTGATTCCGAGAGTCGTTCTCGTCGCTCTGCCCCTCTCGCACTCGCGGGTCGGTGCGAGAGAGACAGAGCGACGAAAACGACTCTCGGAATCAGTCTGCCGCGCAGCCACCGCGACGACGGCGAAGTTGGGCGGCTTGAAAACCCCGCGCGGCCGTGGCGCCGCCCTTGTCGATTTTGTTTTGCAAACCGCCGCCGCCGCCGCGCCGCGCCACGGCCGCACCGTCCAACAGGCTCAGGCTCAGCCGGGCTGCGGGTTCGTTCGCCCCCTCCACTACCTCCCTCCCCTCCCTCTCCCTCCCTCTCGCGTCCCAGATCTCAGATCCTCCGGGCGGGTCGCCTTCCGGAGGCCGTAATGTTACGGGCCGGGTGGGGGGTGGGGGGCTCGCAGTGTGGTTCAAGGGCAGGAAGCACAGGGGGTTGCGGGGAAGACCGCCAGTAGTACGATAACCCAAGCCATGGCACCAGACTCCATTTGGGTTGCGCCGCTGGAGGACGGAAACTGGAGCTGCAGCCCGAAGGCTTGGAAGGCTGCTGGAGCGACTGGAGCTGGAGAGGAGAGATGTTTCGAGTTTATTGCAGAGCTGGCCTGCTGTGGCGTGGCCTGGCTTGGCCCGGCGCGGCGTGCTCCAGTCGCCCCGGAACACACAGGACAGCAATGTCGTCATCCTGGAGAGGGTCGGTCGCTCCCCGCCCTTGCTGGAGGCACACACACACACACACACACACATAGTACTCACTCTCACACACAAACACACACGCATGCACACCGCAAACCCGCCGCGTCGTTTGGAGGGACTTGAGGAAATAAATACTGCGCTCTGCGCTGGCAAAGGACGCGCCGAAAAAAAATCTGTTTAAATATTCGGTTCAGGCCCGAGCCATTGCCGCGCAATTTTTCATCATTCATCACGGCGGCGTGTTCGTTCCCCAGTTCCCCCCCACGGCGTGCCTCAGACCGGGGCCGCCGCCGGGCCGCCGCGCCTGACGATGACAAATGCAATATTTCTCTGGCTGACGTGTGCTTTAATCGGGGATGGGGTTGCTTGCCGGGCCGGGGCACACCGTCGCCGTGCTTTCGTCGGTCTGTCTCTCTCACACCCTCGCGGGACACCCCACGAGAGCGAGAGAGACAAGGGCAAGTTCGGAGGCAGAGGCACCGCGCTGGGGCACTGGGTGAAGGAGCCGCGCCGAAGGAGTTTCGCCTGCTTTGTGCGAGCAGCGCACCGCGCGGTGGGCGGCGGGTCCACCCCCCGGCTCGGTCAAACATATCTCATTCTGCACTTATCTTCTATACAGTGCCCCTCCCCCTCCCCCGCCGTTGCGCGACGCCGTCCATCAACTTTTTCTTTCCGGAGGCGTCGCCGAGACGGTATGGATTCCCGCCACCGCGAAGACGCACACAGACACACACACACACACACACACACACACACACACACACACACACACACACACACACACACACACACACACACACACACACACACACACACACACGCGGGAAGGAAGGGGAACTGCTGGAAAGTTATTTCAAATTCGGCGGGCGAGATTATGTCCGAGGAAGGGGCGACTGCCGTGGCGCTGCAGACATGGGAGTCTTCTTCACCGCTCTGTCTTCCTCGCACTCAAGGGGCGTACCGTATGGGTGCGAGAGAGACAGAGCGAGAAGGAGTCGCGTCGTCGTTCTTCCTCCCTTCCCCCTTTTCGGATTCGGCATTCGCATCCGGGCGTGGCCAGGCGCGGCGCACTGGCGCACTGCATCCCATCCGTCGACGTCGCGCCCTAGGGGGCGGGCGCCACCGGCAGACCGACCGCGAGAGTCGTCGCTCTGTCTCGCTCGCACTCATGGCGCGTCCCGTAGAGGTGCGAGGGAGACGGAGCGACGAAAACGACGCCCCGGAATCAGTCTGCAGAGCGGGCGGCGCGAAACGCGCGCCCGAATCGACCACTGCGGACACCGCACCGCGCCCCTAGCTGGCCGTTACCCTACATGGGCACAGCCAGGAGCCAGTAGCCAGCCAGCCAGCAGGCAGCCAGCAGCCAGCCAGCCGACCCAGCAGCCCGGCCCCACTGTAACAGGTGTCTTTTACTACGGTCCTGGGCGGCTGCTGCAGCCGTCCCTTCCCAGGGGTGAAATGACTAGGAGAATTCATGCGAGCGGGGCGAGCGAGGCGACCGAAGCCCTCGGCAAGGCCGGCCCCGGCAGCGCGGCACGGCGCGCCGCGGCGCCACCCCCGCGCCCTGGCCCTCCAGTGTGCGCCCCTCCGCCCCCCCCCCCTCCGCCCCGCCCCTGCACCGCCCTCGCACCGCAGCCTCGCGAAAGGCAAACGCGCCTAAAAACATAACCACCGCCGCACTGCCGCACTCGGCGCCCAGCCGCGGCCAGCAGACCGATTCCGAGATTCGTTCTCGCCGCTCCGTCCTGCTCGCGCTCAAGGGGCCGTCGCGTTCGGCAGCGAGGAAGACAGAGCGATCGAAACGACCCTCGGAATCGGTCTGCAGGCCCAGCCAGGCCGCGCCGCGCCGCGCGTAATACGATTTATTCGTTACCGTCCAATATTTGGAAAGAAAACATTCGCGGAAGTCTCCCGCGCGCGTCGGACCTCCCCCTCCTCCCCCTTCCCCTTCCCCCCGTCTCTCTCCCCCCTCGCGGCACCAAGCCAACAGGCGCACCGGTGGAAATCGCGTTCAGCCGCGCCAAGAAGAAGAAGAAGAAGAAGAAGAAGAAGAAGAAGAAGAAGAAGAAGAAGAAGAAGAAGAAGAAGAAGAAGAAGAAGAAGAAGAAGGGGGCAGAGAGAATACGGGGGCGCGTTTTGTTATTAATGAAACCCACGACGTCGACGGCGTCGCGGCGGCGGCCAGCGAATCTTTTTGAAGTCCAAACCAAGCGCGAAAGGGAGGGAAGTGGGAAGTGGCGGGGAATGAAAGGGGGGAGGGGGGGGAGGAGCGAGGTGGAGGCAGCAGCAGGTTTTTGTGTGTGCGGGGGTTGTCGGCACTGCAGGAGGTGGAACAGGTTGGAGGGGCGTAGACACACACACACACACACACACACAAACGCGTGAGGGCGCGCAAATGCCCATACACGTTCACCCACCCGGCCCAGCATGTCGGCGTTACATACGTAGTTCTATAGTTCTCCCCCAGCACTCTTTCGTGTTTTCCATTTGTAGCCCTGCCCTGCACTCCCACCTCTACCACCGCCACCCTCACCACCACCACCAGCACCAGCACCACTACCACCACCATCACCATCACCATTACCACCACCATTACCACCACCACTATCGCCATCACCATCACCATATTCATCACCACCACCACCACCCGGGCTGTAGAACCAACACAAACTGAATGTTGCAGTGGACGCTGCAGGGCGGGCGCACCGGTGGCACTCTGGGTCGTGGGGCTCGGAGTGCCTCGGCGGACACTGATATCGGCTTTTTCGAGCAGCCGGCCAGCCAGTCAGGTGTCGCCTGTGCGCAAACAGTCCATGCAGTATGCAGCGGCGCAGCGCCGCGCAACAGTGACACGAAGACGGTGGTGGACGGTGGTGCCGATAGACTATCGAGTGCATCGGTCGACGGCCAACTGGCCGACGCCGCCTCGGCTTTTTGCCTTCTGCAATAACAGCCTGCATAATCCACCGGCTGAGACGTGGCGACGTGGCCGGCGCCGTCCCGAGTGGTGGTGCACCGTCAGAAACCATTTGCTCCTGCAGTACAGTGTATACCCGTGCCTGTTACTTTTTCCTTTCAGTAGCCAATTTTCTTTCAAAAATGCGTCAAGCCAAGGATGTTTTTTAATTCTTATTTCCTTTTTTTTGTAACGATGTATACATGTAATATTCAAAGAACACACTTTATGAGTCCACGTACTCGTTTAAAAATCAAATGCGGATGATTTTTGCATGGTAGCCACTAGAAGTAAAACAAACAACCTCGCCGGTGACCGCAAGCAAGGGGATGGTGGACACACACAACCGGGGTGGACTTGCGTGTGCGTGTATGTGAGTGACGATGTGTGCTTGTGTGTGTGTGTGTGTGTGTGTGTGTACGTGTGTGTGAGTCTGGTCTTTATCACGGACAGAAACTCCCTACGTGAGAGGCAAGTTTAACTGGCATTACTGGACAAGTCTCTTACATACACACAGAACACAACTTGGACGCTGACACACACACACACACACACACAAGTACACGCGGCAGCAGATATAACACGCATTTTCCTCTACGTGCCCGAATGGCGGTGAGCAACTTTTTCATTCACTTTCCAGGGGGGCTGCACGTGTGTGTCTGTGCAATATGGCTCCGTGGGCACGGCCGGCACGGCGGCGTGCACGGCGGGGCACGGCGCAGAGCAAGAGTGAGAAAATGATAAAATGAAAAGGGAAGTGCGCATGCGTACGCGCCGCGTGGACTGCACACAGACGGACACAGACACAGAGTCATGGACATGGGCACAGACACTCACACACGCACACACCCACGTACAAACACACACACACACACACACACACACACACACACACACACACACACACTCATATACAGAGAAATTCGCGGCGATGCGGGGAATCCTCAATCAGTGGACGGCACTCGGTCCGGCGCACGGCGCGTTTCCGATTGGATGCCCATGACGTCACTTCTCGCTGCCCGGCCAGTGAGAAAACAGGGGCCGTGTTGTTGTTTTTCAAAGTGCACACGGCAGCGGCGGCGGCAAAGGTCTGCGCCGAATGACTCAATCCCCGCGCACTCACACACTGACACGGGCAGCAAAAACAGTTCCAGCATGCAAGGTGGCCGGCGGACTGGCCGGCGGACTGGCCGGGCCGGCATGCACACGCGAGCACTCACCATGATAGAGCACGGAGACGCGGGTCTCGAGGGTGGCGGAGGTCGGCGGGATGGCCTGCGACTCGCTGGGCGGCGGGCTGGGCGCCGTGGCCCCGGCCGTGGGGCTGGCGGGGCTCCAGCAGGAGGGCTGGTGCGGCGCCGAGGACGAGGTCGAGGACGACGTCGAGGTGGTGCCGGTCGTCCCCGCGGTGGCGGACGCACTCCGCGGCGCTTCCTGGATGACCGAAGCGCCGCCGCCGCCGGCCCGCCGGATCACGGACGTCTTGATGGGCGAGCTGTCACCCACCACGTCGATCTCCTCCTCGTCGTCCTGCTGGTCCGAGGCCTGGGCCGGGGCGGAGGCCGAGGCCGGCGTCATGGCCTCGGCGTCCACGTTGTCGCCCCGGTCCGGCCAAGGGTAGGCCTTCCACTTCTTGGCCATCAGGCACCTGGGCATTGCAGCACCATCCGGCGGCCCGTCAGCAAAGCATCAGCACAAGTATCCAAGCGAAGCGAAGAGACACACGCGCGCGAAGAACGATAGAAAGCGAGGGGGGGGGGGGGGGGGTTAGAACGGAAACAGTTTCGAGCCGAAGAGGTGCTGCACCATGGCAGCGAACTTAAAACAGCGAGCGGTACAGGGTGGAAGAGAAGAATGCCGGCAGCACTCGCAGAAGAGTTTGTTTGGATGCGCGGGTCCCCCCCCCTTAAGGAAAAACGGAGCAAAAACAAACTCAAACCAACCCCGTAGTAGTGGCTTATGAGCCGATGTGCCGGCTTGCCAGCGCTTTTATATTCTCGGTCGCTCGGCTCCCCACCCCGGTTCCCCCTCCACCACCCCTGCGCGGCGCGCGGAGCGGTACGGCGCGGCTCGGCGCGAGGGTGGGGGACTGCATTCGAACGGGGTTGGTTGGCTTCCCCCACCACCGCCCCTCCCCCGCCAGGGTAGTTCCTCCCTCGGCGCACAGATCGCGCCAGCGGCGGCACGACGGCGCGGCGAGGGAGGCCAAGCCGGGCCCTGCAGGCAGGCCTGCCTCTAGGCCTGCCCGGCGCGACAACCCTCAACCCTCCGAGTCGCTGCGTGCTGCGCCGCGCTGCGCCGCGCCGCGCCAGCCGCCAGCCGCGCCGACACATCGATTGCTGCGAAGGCTGTTCTGTTGCTGATTCTGTTGCTTCGACTGTTGCTGGCGTTGCGTGGCTGATGAGGCTACAATGCACGTCGCCGAGGGGAGCGCCAGCGGCGCCAGCCAGGGGATGGATTAGCCAGGGGTGCACCGAGTATTCAACCCAAAGCAAACCCGGTAGCAAAACCCGGTAGCAAGTCTCGGTTGCAAACCCAGTTGCAATCCTGGTATCAAACTCGGTTGCAATGCCGGTGGCAAACACGGCAGGAAAACCGGAGGTGAACCCAGCAGCGAACCCACCGGTTGCAAACCCGGTACCAAACCCGGTACCAAACCCGGAAGCGAACCCAGGGGCAAAAGACGGTACTGATCCAGACAATCCAAAAGACTTTTTTACTTGTCGAAAAAATGGAGGAATAATCTTGGGCCGAGGGTGGTGTGAGTAGTAGTCGATCCCACGACAGTTTGAAAGTGTGAAAAAGGACTGACAGGCTGCAGGCACGCGCGAGTCCTAGATTGTGATAAGCGCTCATCCTTCCTGTTCCGAGACCACCTCGGGCCGATCGGGCCGCCACGCGCGCGGGGCCCTCGTGCCGCGCCCTGTCTGGTCCATTCACAAGAAACAACAATAAAGAAAATAAAGAAAAAGAGTGTGGGGGATCCAATTTTTCCTCCTCTCTTTTTGTCGGTCATCACCACACGAGGAGGGCACCGAAAAAAAAGAACGTCGTGGGTGCGTCTCGTGCCTAGTCGGCCCATCAAACCGATCACGGCAGTGTCTGCACCGGATTTTTATCGTAGGCCTTTTTTATTGTGGAAGAATAAAACGGAATGAAAAAAGGGGGTCTTGATGAAGAAGGTGGCGGGGAACAGCCGGCGGGCCGCCACACGTATGCCACGCGCGGCCACGCGCCACTCTAAAAAAAGAAAGAAAAACCAGATGATCGGAAAAGGAAACGCAAAGTTGTAGAATGTCGGTTATGGGACTTTGACGAGCTTTGAGGACAAGGAACCAAAACAACGGTGAATCTAGTACAGCTGGAATGTAGGTCTTGATTTCACACTGCCCCTCCCCCATCCCTTTCGCCTGCCCCCTCCCCCTTCATTTTGCTTATCGGGACGGAAACGGCACAAACCTAATCCCAGCGAGCGAGAGAGAAGGCGCGAAGTAGCCGCTCTATCTCGGCCGCGGATCTTTGACGGGCCGAAATGAGTGAAATGCGTGTGCAAGAGTGGAATCAAATGCCCCGCCCACCCGGCGGCCGAGTCGACTGCTTCCGAGAGTCGTTTTCGTCACTTTGTCTCTCTCTCTCTCGCACCTACACTGGCCGCCCCGTGAGAGCAAGTGAGACAGAGCGAAGAAATCGGGTCGAGTCCGCTGGGCCGCGCGCCCACGGCGACGTTGGGTCGCACATGCACCACACCCGGTCGCATCAAAACTTTTATATCACCCGTCTTGGATCGATGCCGAAGAAGAAAAAACTTTACTTATGGCCGGGGACAGTAGCAGCGGGAAAAAATACAAGGAGAAAAATAAGGTGCGGTCGTCTGGTGGTGTCCTAACCGCCCCGGATACCTTCGTTTTATTCAGTCCGACATTTTCATATTTTTTGGTTCCTGTTTTGCTTTTTTCACACCGGAAAAAAACCACGAGCGCTCCCCTCTCCTTCTCAATCCGTGTGCGGTAGTCTGCCGGCGGGTACGCCACCGATGACGAGGGGAAAGGTGTTAAGGGGTTCGTCCCTGCGGCACGCGGCGCGGGGCGGCGGGGCGGCGGCGGGGCGGCAGGGCACGGCTCGCTGGGCAGATGCGCCGTGAACCAGAGGGCACCAGAGGGCTCGCTCGGGGCGCCGTCCTCTTAACAGGCAGCCAATCGCCTTATTGACTTTACTGGTGAACGCGCCGGCGCAGCGCATCGTGCCACACCTGCCCCGGGGAATCAAATTTAAAAAAATCCAGAACAGGAAGTTAAAAAAAAATTAAAGGAAAAATCAACTTGCAACAACGCAACGGCAAAATGTTTTTACAAAAATGAAGAAACAAAAGGCAGGGGGCGAATAAAGAATGACGTTTCCTCCGATCCCGACGACGAAGGGCTCAAAACAAATCCAGGTTACGTAAACGTTTTACAGCAGCCTCGGCCGGCCAGATATGAGAGGGCTTCCCTGCACACATATTGCGGTCTGCGCCGCGTGGCGTGGCGTGGCGTGGCGTAGCGGCATCGGTAAGGAAACCACGCGATTCGGCCGGATCAGCCCGAGATGACAGTGTGGGCCCGGCCGGGGCCACGGCCGGGGCCATGGGTGGCCTCGGGGGGTTAAGCAGGTATGAGAGGAAGAAGGGGAGAAAAAAATGGAGGGGAAGGGACGAGAGAAGAAAGCTCATAAGAAGTGGTCTTTTGCCTTTGATGTGGTAAGCAAGAGGTTATGTGTGGGAAGGGCGCTGGGGGAAGGACACTGGACAAAGGCGGAGCGTGTAGCCCTGAGCGTAGCCGCCGGAGCGTAGCACTCGCCGAACGTGGTGCAGAGTGAAGATTCGAGCGTAGAGCGTAGCCGCGAGAGTATACTCTCATAGCCCTGAGCGTAGCCCAAAACATATAGAGCGTTAGCTCAGATTATTGCAAGAACTATAGCTCAGAGCGAAGCCCACAACGTAGTCTTAAGTGTATACCACAGACCGTGGCCCGAGCGTGACCCAGAGACCGTGGCCTGGAGGAGCGCTCGCAGACTGCCCAATCTCGTTCGCTCTGATTGTGACATGACGTCATTCCGCACTCCGGTGCAGTGTCGTCATTCAACGAGGAAGACCAGAAATAGAGGTTCGAATGTGACGAAGCCTCTGTCACACCCTGTGACACTCACGCGCGTGCTGGTAACAGAATTAGTTGGCAAAGGTTGTCTGTCAGCTGTCTGCGCGCGCTCAGCCAGCCCGCTCTGCTACGCTCTGCTACGCTCTGCGCCATTGACCCTGAATATTCATGAAATCCATTAACTCTGCGAGACACCGTGCATGTTTACTGCCGGGCGGACGCACGGACAGGTACAGCGGACGGACGGGCGGACAGAGCGACGGGCCGACGGACAACACTAGGGCGGGAGAGAACAATCGGCCGGCCGCAGTAGGGTTGGTGAGGCTTGGGCGGGAGTAGCGCGGGAGTGAGATTAGGGCGGGAGTGAGGTTACGGCGGGAGTGAGGTTAGGGCGAAGGTAGGGGAGGGAGTAGGGTGGGAGTAAGGTTAGGGCGGGAGTGATGTTAGGGCGGGAGTGAGGTTAGGGCGGGAGTGAGGTTAGGTTGGGGGAGTGAGGTGAGGCTGAAAGTGAAAGTGAAACACACTCTTAATGTCTAACAATCAAATTTGAGATTTGTGACTATAAATTCCATGCAGCGCAGCAGCGTTGATGATGATGATGATGCAGGTAAAAGGAAGCAAAATTTATCCGTAATACGAAGTTTTGTTTTTTTATTCTCCTTGAAAGATTTTAGGAAAAATCTTCGTGTATTCCCCGAAGAAAAATTACTGCGCATCTGCATCAGATATTTAGAATAAGGGTGGGAGTGAAGTAAGGGCGGGTAGGACGGGAATCAGGTTGGAGCACGAGTGAGGTTAGGGCAGCGGTTCTCAACCTTTTTCCGCTCCCGACCCCAAATTTGTAGCCAAAAATTTCCGCGACCCCACGCGACCCCTCCTTTAGCATGCCTTTGACACAAAGTGGGATAATCCGCCTTTGTTTGGAAGCAGTATTGTCTCAAAGTTGATCAAAACGGTCAAAAATGCCTTTGAAAAATCGTGTTTTGGGCCGACTTTAAGCAGCCACTGCGTCTGATCCGAGGCGGGCTTTCGTACTTTCTTAACGGGCATTTGGTCTTTAGACCTTCCTTTAGCATGCCTTTGTTACGGAGTGCGATTATCTGCCTTAGTTCGGGAGCAGTGTTGGCTCAAAGTTGATCAAAACGGTCAAAAATGCCTTTGAAAAATCGTGTTTTGGGCCGACTTTAGCAGCCACTGCGTCTGATCCGAGGCGGGCTTTCGTACTTTCTAACGGGCATTTGGTCTTTAGACCTTCCTTTAGCATGCCTTTGTTACGGAGTGCGATTATCTGCCTTAGTTCGGGAGCAGTGTTGGCTCAAAGTTGACCAAAACGGTCAAAAATGCCTTTGAAAATCGTGTTTCGGGCGACTTTTAGCAGCCAAATGCGTCTGATCCGAGGCGGGCCTTCGTACTTTCTCAACGGGCATTGGTCTTAAGGACCTTCCTTTAGCATGCCTTTGTTACGGAGTGCGATTATCTGCCTTAGTTCGGGAGCAGTATTTGGGTCAAAGTTGACCAAAACGGTCAAAAATGTCTTTAAAGTCGGTTTTGATCAACTTTGAGCCAATACTGCTCCCGAACTAATGCAGATAATCGCACTCCGTAACAAAGGCATGCTAAAGGAAGGTCCAAAGACGAAATGCCCGTTGAGAAAGTACGAAGGCCCGCCTGGGATCAGACGCAGTGGCTGCTTAAAGTCGGCCCAAAACTCGAATTTTTCAAAGGCATTTTTGGCCGTTTTGATCAACTTTGAGCCAACACTGCTCCCGAACTAAGGCGGATAATCGCACTCCGTAACAAAGGCATGCTAAA